GGGGAAGTCCAATGTCCCAAATGCTGTTGCATAAACATGAATTATAAATTTATCGTCGGGGTTCCTCTTTCTGAGACTCTTGAACTGAACTTAGATTGGGTGGGGACTGCTTTGCATCTTGTCCCACGTTCACACGCAGCTTTAGAGAGCTTATTAACGGTAGTGGGCAAGAACCTGGGATGGAGCTGATGTGAACTACAGGTTGACAGGGTGCTTAGAAACATCACCAAATGTGGGAGCTAAAACATCTAAGTAAATTTTCTTACTTGATTTTAGGAGTAAAATCAAGAAATTATTTCAAAGTTCTTGGGGCAGGGGTAGGGGGAAAAGAAGACAATGTTTTACAGTAAATTTGGGAAATTAAATCCTGACACAAAATGCAATATTAAGAGTAGTCTGGGGAGACTGTGGTATGGCCAAGGAATTTTTGGATTGTGTTTCTGCGTGTCTCTATTTATGGCACCGTTATTCTTCTGGTCCCCAAACCAGATTCCTTAGAGTCATCCTGGATGCCCTCCTTCTCCTCCAATCAGTCCACCTTTGCACCCTTCCCTCTGCCACATGTATGGTCTGGCCTTCTTGAACAAACTCACACGATGGAAACAGCATCTAACCACGTTCTATGCTTCCTCCCCTGTTGCCCCCACCCCCAAAGCTATCTTCTTTGCAGCTTCTAGAAAGATCTATCTGAAGGACAAATCTGATTGTGTTGCTTGATTAAAACTTTCAGTAGTTCACTTCAGTAGCTTATAAGATAATTCTTATTGTGGCATCATAACCTATTGGGATCTCACCCTTTTCTGATTCTCTGACACAATTTTCCATTTCTAGTCTGGGTTGACTAAAGAAATTTATAGACACTCATATGGGTGTAAGAAAGAGCTTTTGTTACTCCCTCAATGCAAGAACACTTTGTTCTGTTAAACTGGCATTCCATGATGCTCACCTTCCCGACATAATTGCTGAAGACAAAGTGGGTGCATAAGTAAGTGAGGTGAAGAAAGCTGATGGTGCCTGGATATCAAAAGATATAGCATCTGGGGGTCTTAAAGGCTTGAAGGTAAACAAGCGGCCATTTAGCTCAGAAGCAACAAAGCCCACATGGAAGAAGCACACCAGCCTACGTGATCGGTGCCGAAGGGATTAGTTATCAGGCATCATAGAACAAAAAAATCATATCATTGTGTGCACACCTCCCTGATACGATTGCTGAAGACAAATGGGTTGCATAAGCAAATGTGGTAAAGGAATCTGACAGTGCACAGCTATCAAAAGATATAACATCTGAGGTCTTAATGCTTGAAGGTAAACATGTGGCCATCTAGCTTGGAAGCAAGAAAGCCCACATGGAAAAAGCACACCAGCCTGTGCGATAATGAGGTGTTGAAGGGATCAGGTATAAGACATCATCAGAACAAAAAATATCGTATCATTGTGAATGAGGGGGAGTGTGGAGTGGAGACCCAAAGCCCATCTGTAGGCAATTGGACATCCCCCTACAGAAGGGTTGCGGGGAGGAGATGAGCCAGTCAGGGTGCAGTGTAGCAACGATGAAACATACAACTTTCCTCTAGTTCCAACCCCTCCCCCACTATCATGATCCCAATTCTACCTGACAAATCTGGCTAGACTAGAGGATGTACACTGGTACAGATAGGAGCTGGAAACACAGGGCAGATGATTCCCTTCAGGACCAGTGGTGAGGGTGGCGATACCGGGAGAGTGGATGGAGGGTGGGGTGGAAAGTGGGAACTGATTACAAGGATCTACATATAACCTCCTCCCTGGGGGATGAACAACAAAAAAGTGGGTGAAGGGAGACGTCAGACAGTGTAAGATATGACAAAATAATAATTTATAAATTATCAAGGGTTCATGAGGGAGTGGGGAGCAGGGAGGGAGGGGGTAGTGGGGAGGGAGGGGGAAAAATGAGGAGCTGATGCCAGGGGCTTATGTGGAGAGCAAATGTTTTGAGAATGATGAGGACGATGAATGCACAAATGTGCTTTACACAATTGATGTATGTACGGATTGTGATAAGAGTTGTATGAGCCCCTAATAAAATCATTAAAAAAAAGAACATTGTACACAAAGAAAGCAAAAAAGTAAAATGGCAGTAAAGAGAGAAAAGAAAAAAAAAGAAGGAACTTTATATAAGGAGTAATTGTGTATTAAGAAAACACCTTAACCCAGTCCAGATCAAGCCCATAATTCTGATATTAGCCCATCTGTCTGATGCCAGTCTATAAATTCCTCTTCAGAGTCATGCAACACATGCAATGACGTCAAATGCAGGAAGATCACAGGCCAGTGGGTCACAAGTCCTGTGAATCTAGTGGTGGTGGAAGTGTCTCCGTGCTGGTGGGGGTGTTCACATGGCTCCTCTAGCTCCAGGGCTCTGGCTCCATCAGCATTTCTCCAGGTGGCTTGTCAACAGGAAACTGAAGCAGAGAGAGAGTGTATCTGGCCTCCAGTGAGCTATTTATCTCAGTCGTACCCCCAAATGAGGTCCTCAGCTGTGGCCTGATTGACGTGTTAGACTTCACCCCTTCCTCAAATTGACAGTAGATTATGTAACTGCCACACCATTTAAGAAAATTTTATTCTGAAACTAGACTACATTGCTTGTAATTTCCTGAACATTTGTGTGTGTATGTGTGTTTTATGCTTGTGCACATTTTCTATTCCTATCAAAAACCCAAGGATGATGGCACTTGATATGTAGAGATCCTGGGTTCCTGAATTACTGTGTGGAGAAAACCTTGTTCTTCACCCTGAGAACAGGGATATTTTCTTTTGGAAAACCCAAGAGATGATTGGTGTCAGAACTGTTAGTGCTGCTTTTCCCAACTAGCTCACGGGAGAAGGGCACTTCTAACTTTATTTCTCACCTTACGTAAAATTACCTCTTCATGTGTCTGTCTCTTCCAGTACATCACTTTGGACATTTCTTAAGACGAGACACTAAATATGATGAGTCTTTTCATTTGGCATACTAAGTACTCAATAAATATTTGTTGACAAAAAAAGAATATGATAGTGAGATAAAGTTTAATACTAACAATGAGCGTTTATTGAGTGTTTATGTGCAAAAGACACATTATAAGGAACTTAAATTTATTGCCCGACATTATCCTCCAAATACACACATGTTACTTAGGTGCCTGTTACATGTATCGGGCTTTGTAAGAGGCACTGGTGACGTAAGCCCTGAGACAGAGGTACTCACAGTAACTGAGCAGGGATAGATTATCTTCATTATGTATGTAGGGAAATTGAACTTAGAAAACTGAAGTCGTTGCCTAAGGACTTATAAGTAATAAATGACACATTAAAACCCCAAGTCTATTTTGATATACTTTTCAGTTCCTGTCTGTTATCAGCTGCACTACAGATGCAAAGATAAAGAAGTATTCTAAAAGAATTATCAAACCAGATCCTGAAAGCTGACTCTCTCAGTATTATCCCTACCACTTTGCCACATGACTTCTTATTCAGTAATAAGGTAAAGCCAGGGTCTCTGCAAGCAGCCTCATTTCCACTAAACAGATCGCCTGCGAGACTCAGGGTGGGGTTGATTGCACTCACGCTGTTACTGCATGGCTCCCCTGGAAGCTGGGTGGTGGAGGTCAGTAGGGTGACTCTTCCACACTGTAGAAAGGAAATTTCTCCTGCGTGGTCATCTCCGATTTTGTAGTGTTGAGTGATAGAGACAGCAGATTCTGGATTTGGGAACTTTTTCTGCACCAGCAGAAGCCCTGGGGATCTTGCGTGACTATTGGTGGCAATGACTGCTCCCTTGTCAGCTGAGTTTGACAGGTTGCTTCTGAAAGTTGTTCCCAAGAGCTCAGCCTGGAGCTTCACTCTCTAACCATTTCGATGTTTTTGAAAGCCTCTCGGTACCCTTTATTCACATACCAGCTGTAGTGGGTTCTGTTTCTGACACCAAACCCTGATGGATACAGTAATTGACACAAAATGACTTTCTGCTTCTCTTTTTTGGAAGGAGGTTAGTTAGTGTTTATGTATATGTGTATTCCAAGTCATCCTATCACATGGCACAATCAATCATACAAAATAACTAATTTCTCCATGACCTGCTTTGATAATTCAAATCACCTTTTGAATTTTTCAATTATACAGATATAGACTACCATTTATTTTGGTACCATAATCTGAAAATGCCTGCCAGCCATAATATTCTGATTAACACTCTGTTATTGCTTTCTGTAATGGTAGCTATGCCTTCCTCTGTCCCTACATACTTTTAATCAGGGAGCCTATTTCAGTATCTCCACCTTCATCCCTGTCCTGCTTCTATGATTCTTTTCAAAGATGCTGATATTTATGACTAATGTATTTTACAATGCTGTAGGAAACGTGTGTTCTCTGGCCAGTCTTGGGAAACATAATTAGGGTGTAAATGAGTGGGTCATGCATGATAAATTCACACCATCCTTTTTGTTGCTGTAAGTACTTGAATTTATCTTCTGCATAATCCAAAGCATTATATTGTTTCAACTTCATTTAATCAAGGCCACTGTTGAGTACAGATTCCGATCCCCTAAGAGAACAACTAACCAGAACTACGCCCCAGCTGCTTGAACTAGTACATTGAATCCAAAATCTCTGCCAAGTGTACCCGCTTATCCAAAGGGTACAAAAGTGCTGTAGCTGATTGGAATACTGTGTAAAGCCAATAGCAACCACTAACAAGAGATCACAGTGGAGGGTCTTAGGTTTGGGAGCTAAGTTCTGTTCTCTTCAGCAAGTAACTTATCTTTTTTATTTTGTGAGAAAATTTTGGCTAGCATTGGGCCATGGCAGTCACCAACCACTTGCTTATCCAAAGCCGTCTATCATGAATTGTCCATCAGGACCTGAAGGTTTTGCCTGTGGCTCCAACAACCTGTGGTCTTTCTGTGTCTGGGTTCATCTTCTGGATTCCTGATTCATCAGCTCTGGCAGCTCCTGGGTCAGGGGAACCACACTGGACTTACCTGCTTCCACAACGATGTGAGCCATTTTCTTTCTTTCTTTCTTTCTTTCTTTCTTTCTTTCTTTCTTTCTTTCTTTCTTTCTTTCTTTCTTTCTTTCTTTCTTTTTTTTAACATTTTATTAGGGGCTCATACAACTGTTATCCCAATCCATACACGCATCAATTGTGTAAAGCACATTTGTACATCGTTTCTCAAAACATTTTCTCTCCACTTAAACCCCCGACATTAGGTCCTCATTTTTCCCCTCCCT